GAAAAAATTTTTTCTTGCAATCTCTTCTTCACCCAGCGCCCTCTTTTTCAAGAGAAAAAAAAATAAAAAAAATGCATAATAAAAAGAATATAGTCCACCCCTCCCCCCTTTCTCCTCATTACTATCTCCGACATCAAAACCGCTAACCTTACGCCCTCATTTCAGCCCCTCCCCTAACTGCCTTTACCCCTCCTGCACCTCATTAGCCTCTCAAGCCATCTGAGACGAGCCGAGTTTTAGTAGTTATTGCCATAAGTTAATGCATTAATCAACAGTGCAAAGGAAAAATATACTATATCTCTCAATATCTCTGAATGAGTCCACTGGATGAGATTATTTATAATAATGAAGAGACTGGAGAACGAGGAGGCGGGAGGGGGGGGGGGCAAGCAATTTAGGGAAGGGTCCGAGGAATTTAGATTTGAGGAATTCAGATTCAGGGAAGGGTCTGAGGAATTTAGATTTGGTAAATTTATATTTCGCGGATACGAAAAATGATGGATTAGTTATAAACACTGACAAATTACATCACAGAAATGAGAACAAATATTCAAAGGGCACAAGCAAAGATTTCTTTTCATTTTTCTACAAAATTTATACAGTTGTCGAAAAAGTGCAAGCGCATCATACAGCTGAGCACATACACAAATTTTTGAATAGAAAAAAGAAGGCAAAAAAGGCTAACGAACTTGTTGAACGAGCCAAGCCACTATCGCTGTTCATTGCCGCACAATTAACTGTATATCCTCCTGCAATAAATTCCTGAAATATCATCTTGAGCTTATGGTGGGAAGAAAATAAATAGCGACGCGCACCAGGTAGCCCGGCGCAATCATGCGTTTTGCGCTGTCTCGTCCAGCAAACGTTTGCTGTTAAGAATTTTCACTGTTTTACACTTTGGTATGTGCAAAAATAGTCCATATGCTGCCTGATTTCTAAGCTGCGAAATTTTCCGCTAAAAAATTTCACTGTTACGAGAAGCGCAAGTGTACGTGAAAGCTGAATTTGAAACCTTTGAGTCGCACGTGGACGGAAAATATCCTTCCAAAACTTCAATTTCCTAAATTTTCTGACTTCCGCGACTTTCATGCCAAAACTTTCAGGCGTACGTGAGATTTAAGCATTATATGGGAGCTAAAGCTGAGGAAGCTAAAACTGAGCTTGTGAGATCCCGAGATTCCTGCACAGACAGAAAATATAATCCTGCAATCGCAGCAAGCTGGTTCTCCTGGTTCCCGAGATAATAATTTTTCCCACCAGAACCCTCTGAAAATTCCAGCCTCCTAACTTTTTTGGTCGCCGCATTGAAACTGCGGGACAAAACGCATTCGAAGATATTATATATGCTTATATACATATATATATATGTATATATATGTACGCATATATATATGTACATATATATGTATATGTGTATATACACATGTATATATATGTATATATATATACATATATATATATATATAT